AAGTATCGTTGCTGATCAAGTTCATCCTATCATGTTGATGGCGTATCCCAATGCAGATGGCTTCTTCCACCAAGACAATGCGCCATGCCACGGTGCTCGTATTGTGCAGGAGTGGTTTCAAGAACATGAGGGAGACTTTATCTTGCTTAGGTGGCCCCCACAATCACCAGATCTCAATCCAATTGAGCATTTGTGGGACGAAGTTAAAAGAGCCATCAGGCAGCTGGTTCCGCAACCATCAAATCTCACAGAACTGGACAGTGCTATTCATCAGGCATGGTGTCAGATTCCTCGCATCACCTTTCAACATCTCGTGGAGTCAATGCCAAGAAGAATCGCTGCAGTATTGAAGGCAAAAGGTGACCCAACAAAGTACTGATGGGGTGGTCATAATACATATATTAGAGGCCCGATGCACGAAATTAGTGCAAGAGTAGGCCTTCCTTCCCCCACCTGCTGGCACCAGCTTCCCTCTGGCACCCGGGACCCGGGCTTCCCTCACAGCCTGGCTTCATCTGGAAGGTCGTCCAGAAAGACATCTGGTCTAATTAGCATATTACGCTTTTATTATTATAGATAAAATTTTGCCTCACTGTCTAAAATTTTCATGCTTATCTGAATTCCCTATTTTAATCATATTAAAACTTGAATTTCTCCTGTTAATCTGCCTTATGTCATTATTTATTCCACCAGCCAGAAGAACTGAGAGGGGGAAGTTTCCATGTCCCAGCAGAACCTTTGCAAAGATGTGGGTAATGATTAATAATCACTAATATTCAAAGTTTTACTAATTGATAACAACAAGACAACTAAACAGAAAAATGAGGAGGCAATTCACACAAGGGAACATGCAAATTGTCAATAAATATATGCTAAGATGCTCGGTGTCTGTAGAAGCCAAGAAAATGCAAATTAAACCAGTACTGTCTTTTTTTCACCCATTATATTTACCAACATTTTCAAAGAAAAGAGTGATAATGTTCAATTCTGGCTGACAGTGTTGAGACATAGGAATTGCTACAACCTATTTATTAGAAAAGTAATCTGGACACACCATTAAAAAAATTTTTTTAAAGCAAACATTTTTTGACTCAGATATCTTCCCTTTGGGAATCTATTTTACTGAAATGAAAGCCCCAATATACCCAGACTTATCCCCAAGGAGACATGCCACACTGTTTTTGTAATTTCTAAAAACAGACAACTTGAATGCCCAACCAGTAGGAGAATGGTTGAATAAATAAACAGTTAAATCTAACTCATCTGAAGGGATGTCCATATACTGTTAAGGGGGGGAAGCAAGTTGCAGAGTGATAAGCATATTATAGCAGCTTTTGTAATCGAAGCCAGAGCAAATAAGCAAGCCAGCCAACCCTGAATACGAGAAGGGTATGTCAGGACACCCTCCTATTACTCTCCCTGGCTGCCTCCAAGATAGAAGAAGGCAGAAATCATGCCTATTTTTGTCCTTTTATATCATTTTTTAGCTCCTTAAAATAAACATGTATTATTTTAATTCTTTAAAAGCCTATATAGCCCTGGCAGTGTGGCTCGGTTAGTTGGAGAGTCATCCCAAAAGGTGGCAGTTCGATTTCCAGTCAGGCCACATACCCAGGTCAGGGCTTAGTATGGGAGGCAACCGATCGATATTTCTCTCTCACATTGATATTTCTCTCTCTCTCTCTCTCTCTCTCTCTCTCTCTCTCTCCCCCCCTTTCTTTCTCTAAAAATCAATAAAATTTTTTAAAAATCTGCTCAGCCAGTGTGTCTCAGTGGTTGAGTGTTGACCTATGAACCAGGAGGTAATGGTTTGATTCCCTATCAGGACACATGCCTGCACTATGAGCTCAATCCCCAGAAGGGGGCATGCAAGAGGCAGCCAATCAATGATTCTCTCTCATCATTGATGTTTCTATCTCTCTTTCCCTCTCCCGTCCTCTCTGAAAAAAATTTTTAAAAAACCTATTTTTAAAATCCAATAAAATACAAAATGTTAATGTGTCCCAATTGGCTGTAAGTGGCAAGCTCCTCAGTGTGACATATAAGCCACCATGGTCTAGCCCCTGCCGCTTCTATGGCCTCATCTCTCTCCACATTTCTCCATACACAGTGCTTTGGCCACACTAAGCTATAGTACTTATAGTTTCTTAAATATGGCATCTTGTGTCTTATCTCTGAATTTTGCACACTCCCCTGAAAAGCTATTCTCCCCCCCCAACCCCATGAACTCCTACTAATTCTTCAAAACCCAACTGAACAATGACCCCACCCCACTCTGATTGCACCGCAATGACAACATTTGTACTTTATTGACATTATGTGTGGGTATATGTGTGTGCACGTCTGTGGCGTCAGCCTTCATTGTGCTCGGTTGGCCTATAAGAAGTTATAGTAATGCTTGCTGAATGAATTAAAATGAAATTGGTGTGTTATAACTTCTGTGCTTTTGACCTAACAATAGCATCATTCTGGCTATGTTTTGATGATTTGTGTTTTTGATAAGCCGGTGTGGGTGCAACATCTTACAAATAGGCCAATAGTTTGATTGACTGTTTTGTCAAAAGTTGGGACACTTGCAATCATGGCTTTCCAGCAGCGAGAATTCATTTTTCTGTCTGAGTTAAGTTCCTAATAGGGCACAAGTATGAATATGGGGACGCAGCTGTGCTGTTTTGAAAGTTCAATCCTTAATTTCACTTCTTTTTCTTTCCTGGAGGATGTGTGCTATTGCTCCTGCCTGCGCTCGGGTCCAGTCCCAGGCCTGCCTGGCTCTGCCCTGTGCTGCACAATGCTGACTCCTGAAGCCTTCGTCCAGGCTCTTGTCTCAGCTGATGGCAGCTGGGCTCAGCTCATCGCAAGCCCAGGAGGGGCCTGGAGGGCAGACAGAAGGGAGAAGCCGGGGTGCCTCTCCCGCCTCTGCTTCCATCAACCGCCTCTCCTCCAGCTCCTCTGTGCCTCTAAGGCTCCGTGGGACCCCTGCGTCCTTATTCCTCCTCTTTTGAGCGCTCTGATTGCACTGGGCCCGTCACATTGCCTCCTCCCTCTGTGTCTCCACCTCGGATGGCAGTGACTTCCTGCTGTTGCTAACCTCTGGGTCACCTCATGAATCAGTTCTCTTTTGTTGTGAAACAAACTACCCAAAACTTAATGGCTTAATACAACTACCATTTATTTGTAACTCACAATTCAAGAGGTAGCAATTTAGACTGGGACCAGCTGGGCAATTCTTCCGCTGGTCCTGGCTGGGCACGCTCATGCGTCTAAGATCAGCTGCCAAGTCACCAGGGAGCTCTGCTTTGGAAGCTGGCTGGCTGTCATCTGGGGCAATGGTGAGTCCATGTGTCTCTCACATCAGCCAACAGTCTAGCGCGGGCACATTCAGTTGGCAGCTGGTTCCAAGACAGAGAAGGCAAATGGGAAAACCTCTTGAGGCTCAAGCTTGGAACTCAGCGGCATCAGAAGATCTGCCCAGATTCAAGAGGTCAAGCAATAGACTCCATTTCTTGATGAGAGAGGAATTAGTGGCCATCTTTGAACTCTACCACACCTTACCGTCTTCTCCTTCATCACCAAGTTCCTGCGTAAATTTCCCCTGTGATAGCACTGGAAGTCATTCCTGTTTCTCTAGTTAGACCTGTGTGTATGTTTGAATGTGTTTGGGAGATAGGAGGTAAGGAACCCAGGAAAAATCTATTCCTATCGGGGTCCCCTTGGGGTTCTGTCATAAATATCTCCTGCCCAGGCTTTTTAAGAATTAGTCAATATGACAATACAGAGGTGTCCAAATTCAGCAAAGATGAGTTGAGTGTCACCATGTGGCAGGCACAGTGCTGGGTCCTGTGGGCTGTGTGGGGTGGAGGGGGCGGTACGCAGAGTGAGGAAGGCATGGTGCCTGCCATGTGGGTTGTAAGTGGTACCTGAGGAGCCAGGGATAAGGGGTTTGATAAGAATAGGAGGAGGAGGGGGATGAAGATGGCCACTATGATGCTAATACAGCTCGGAGCCTGGTGAGGAATGGTAAATACTCGGATGAGAGTTTTCTTGGTTTGTCTCTGCAGCCTAGAAAGTAAGATGCATGAATGCCCACACCTCGCGTGTGCTCACTACTGCCTCTCCATTGCTTAACTAGAGGCCAGCACCCAGTAACTGGGGAACAAAACCTTTTTTAAGCGCATGAGGGAAAGGTGTGTACATGGCGCTACCAGTGCAGAGGAGAAAGAAGTCAATTCTGAGAATGGGGCAACGCTTCATAAAAACAGATGACTTCCCAAGTTTAGACTGAGAAACAGTTGTCAAATGTTGGCAGCAGGGCAGGGACTGACAGGAAGCCGAAGGATCAGCATGAGCAATGCCAAGGGGTGTGGGAGTGGGTTAGCCTCCCCGGGATCATCCTGTTATGCAACCCCCAAAGCTTGCTTCTCTGAGCCCACCTCCCTGAGTACTCAGGAGATGATCTGGGGCCTCCGCTGCTCAGATCTGGCAAAGGACAACAACACCGACCTTCAGGTTTGGGAAAAGCCCTCCTCAGTACAGGTGGAGGCAACTCTGCATGGATGGGCACAATGTGCGTTTGGATAACTTTCTCCTTGTGATTTGGGTGTTTTTGAATGTGTGCCCAGAGGCTCCTGTAATAAATCCCTTTTTAGAAGCTAAACAAACACACAGGGAAGGAGGGGAAAAGCCAGAAGCGACGGACGTGCCTCCCAGGGGAGCTTGGTTGACAGGGAAGACATCTGGACCCAGAGAGGAGAGGAATTCTGAGGAGAGAGAGCTCAGCTCAAAGCCCTTCAGTGAGTCACACTCCCTGCTTCTCCGGCAGGGAGATGAGCCAGCCCTCTCTGTGTTCCTGTCTGGGACCCCAGACAAGGCCAAAGAGAGCCCCATGCAGGACAGCACTATTAGTGAGAAGAGCTGTCACCTCCTGCAGTAGGCCGGGCAGGAGCTGAGGTCAGCTACAGGAAGAGAAGCTGCAGTCTTTGCTGTGATGCTGGCCCTTCAAGTTCAAGGCAATTCAGATGTAAAGTCCTCAACCCTCAGGCTTCAACCGTAGAGTGAGGCTCCACTTCTCTGCCAGCTCATGCTGCCCAACCCTGTTGCTCCCTACGAGTGTTCCTAACTCACTGCCCTTCCGGTTTTCTGTAGGTTAGATTCAAACTGGGGTTCCGGTCTTATAGTGTAGTTGGGGAAAGTATGTGAGCTGATGTTTGTAAAATAACTTGCCATGAGGCTCACATGCAGTAAGCATTCAATAAATGTTACCTGTTATGAGCTGAAATGTGTCCCCCCAAATTCGAATGTTAAAGGCCTAACTCCAGGACCCCAGAATGTGACTGTATTTGGAGATAGGGCCTCTAAAGAAGTGATTCAGTTAGAGAGAGGCTGTTAGGGGGGGCCCTGACCCAACACGCTGGTCTCCTTATAAGGACAGGGAATTCAGGGACACACACAGGAATGGCCATGCACAACCCAAACGTGCTCACACCTTGACTTTGGACCACCTGCCTTCAGAACTGTGAGGAAATGTTTCTGTTGAAGCCAGCAGTGTGTGGCATTTTGTTACAGCAGCCCAGGCAGACGAATATACCAACCTATTGTTGTTATTATTTTTACACCCAGACGCAAAGCTGAGCACCAAGGTGCCCTTGATTTCCATACTGATAAAAGCTCCAGACCAATTGTGCAAAGGAAGCCAGCTGTACCGAGGACGCCAAAGCCCCATTCCCTTCTGCCCTGCTACGCTGGCTGGCTGGCCGCTGGGACTGCCACTGTGTGACTCATGCCGTTTCTGGTTTCAGTGTGGGGTGCAGATCTCTGTAGAGACCAGATGACAGTTGCTATGAGTCAACAGCAGGGAAGTCCCTGAGGTGGGGAGAACTGCTCCACTCCCCAGCTCCCAGCTCCTGCAGACATGCTGAGAGCACATCACCCCAAAATAATGAAGTTCTCCCCTGGTTTCCAAATGATCATGATTGCCCTCCCATCACCCTCTTGAAGGTCAGAAAGTCAGATTTCATAAAGGCTGCTACAGATGGTTTTAAACTAGTCCCTTCAGAATCCCACAATTAACACCTAATTACATGTCCTCACCAATTAGTGAAGGACTTGCCTGTTCTAGCAATGGCAGAGTGACCAAAAATCCATAATCTAAATAAAACATGTCTGCTCTCCCTTCTCCCCCAACACCCTACTCCTCCTTTAATAAAGTTACTTAACCTCTGACCCTGGTGAATTATCTATCTGCAAGACAGTGCTAAAAACACCTGTTGTCTGAAGGATCAAATGAGGTCATTCATTCATTGAACCAATATTTACCACATGACCTACCAAGCACTCATTGTTGTCATTCATCAGATACTCACTGAACACCTGCTCCCTGCCAGCCCTCTGGGATCCTGCACTGAAGAATAGTGAGGAGGTCTCAGATCTCACAGACCTTACCTTCTCCCAGGGAGACAAAGAGCAAGCAGACCAGGGCTGGGGAACATCCGGCCCACAAGCTGGATAAGGCCCGCAAAATCATTTGGTCTGACCCTGCCAAGGCTTTGGGGTGAGTTGATGAAATGTGTGACCCAATATAGCAGGTTCATTTTTAAGTCGATAATTCTATATGGCCCGCGAATGATGTTAGAAATATCCACATGGCCCTTGGCAGAAAAAAAGGGTCCCCACCTCTGAAGTAGACAAACAAGATGACTTCATGCGGGACCTGCTACACTGGAAACAATGCAGTAATGAGATGGCAGCCACCAGGCGAGGTTAGAGACGGCTTGTCACAGAAGGCCTTCTCCTCAGGCCTGCATGGTAAGTCGGATGTGGGAGGACCTGGGGAAAGAATATGCTATCAGAAGGAGGCAAAGGAGACTACAGGTGCAGAGGTTCTGGAAGGAAGGATGTATTTAAGGGCCAGAAAAGAACGGAAGGGCCATGGGAGAGAAGGGCGGGGTCCAGGAGAGACTGGCGAGGTGGGCAGAGGCCAGATGGCAGAGGTTCCTCTGGGACAGGGGAAGCTGGATCTTCCCGTGGTGGAAAGCAGACCAAAGAACTGCAATTCCAGTAACTTACCTGAGTTCAGACAGGGGGCTGTTTGAAGATGGTCTGAGATCAGTCAGGGCCGCCCTGGCTGTGGCCAGGACTGGACATCGGAGTCATCCGGGATCTTTAAACAAACACTGATGTCTAGGCCCCACCCCCACCAGTTCTGATATAATGGGGCTGGGCTGCAACCCAGGCAGTTGGGTTTGTTTGTTTATTTATTTGTTTGTCTGTTTTTAAGCTCTCTGAGGATTCCAATGGGCGGCCAAGGTTGAGACCACAGGAATAAGAAGCCACTGGAAGAGGATTTTAAGCAGAATGGCATGATCTGAATTCTCCCTAAAGGAACTCAATCACACTGTAACCCATGACGTTCCCCTAGCAGTGCCCCGTACATAGTTGATTCCTGGTGTTTAGTTCCTTCCCTCCCGTATCCTCTGATCTTTCAGAAACCTGGAACTGCTGGGCACTGCAGAGAGAAAGTATTCGAGTGAAGTATGATGGGTCTGCCTCCATCAGGACTGTTTCCTGCCTCTGTCCTTGGAATTGCTCAGCCATCCCCCAGCCCTGGAGGCTCACTGCTGTGCTTCAGACAGCCCGGAGGACCCCAGCCCCCAGCAGAGCAGCTCCGAGGAACATTCAGAAGCAACTTGGTGACTTTATTTTGATAAAATACAATAATTACCATGCCTAGCAGCTGTTGCTATTTAAAATAAGAAAAACCTGGGCCTGAATTTAAACTGTTTTTGGTAAAGCATGTGCCCCACCAATCTGGTGCAACAAAATCAGACATTATGAAATCCTCAGAAGTGGAACTTGTTACAGGAAGTTAAGATGCAAATCATATTTCGCTTCAAATGAGCCCGATGAATGCATAATTTTCCACAAAGAAATACTTTTGTGTCAGGATCCTTTTGCCAAGAACCGAAGTTTCAGGCTGCAGCTGTTAGCGGTGTCTGATTGTCCATTTCAAACTGCAGGCAGTTCTGTTTGCCTAAGGAGGATGTGGAGCAAAGACAGGAAGAGCTACTCTCATCAATTGTCTTCCAGAATATTCTCTATGAGATCAGCCTGTATTTCCCAACAACCATACTTATGCTCGGCATTTACAGACCAAACCCCAAGGCGAATCATCAGCTACTCCTAACGTTCTATTCATTCAGAAGAGGCTGTTTTTCCTCTCCCCCCAGGACTTTCTCTGACCCTGGGGTCATTAACTTTATTTGTCAGGAGCCTTTTGATTCCATGTGGAATCAAGAAACCCAATTCAAATTAAATAAAACACCAAAAACAAGACAGGAGAGGAATTATTTGTCCCTGAAACTGGAAAGTCCAGACATGATCTGGCTCCGGTACACGGGATGTGTGTTGAAGGGGACAGGAGAAGGAACTGGCCACAGACAAGTAAAAGGATGCCTGAGTAGTTCTGAGGGCGTAACACCTGCTCCACGGACTTGCCAGGCACCAGGTTCAGGCCGTGTGGTTTTCTCCAGGTGCAGACCCTAGAAATGGCACATTGAGAGATTTGGATTGAGTCAGCTTGAGAGGAATGGAAGAGAGAAGTTGTTCAGGCTCAGGGGTGTATTTAAAAGACACAGATGGGATGTGAGGCAGAGAAGAAAAAGAAGTCGGGAAGAGGAGGCACACCTGTCACCTCACCTTGGAGACTAATGGGAATAAAGTCCCAGTGATTTCAAATGTTGTCTCCTTCTCTGGGGTATCCCAAAGGCCAGCAGGGTCACTGAGTCACCCTGGTACCATCCAACTAGCAATTAACCAGCCACAATGAGGAGGGGACTCCAGGCTCTACTCTGGGGGTAGTGGTTAGTCATTGCTTTCAATTCCAGCAATGCCAGCCGAAGTCTAAACTGCCCCTGGCCAGCAGGGGCCACCTCCACAGTGTGTCCTTTGTCCAAAGAATGGCTAGCGACACCTATCACGTGGTGAGACACTTCCATCTGTGCCTCTGGAGTTCTCAAAACGAGGCAGGTGGCGGGTAGGAGAGGCCAGGGGAAGGTCAAGGGGGAAAAAAAAGGAGACATATGTAATATTCTTTGTAATACTTTAAGCAATAAAACAAAATTTAAAAAATATATCAGACGGTAGACTTTAGGGCAAGAAATGTGATCAGAAATATAGAAAAACAAAACAAAAACAAGGCAGGTGTCTCCCACACTAGGTGGGCTGCCCCCCACGGGGCAAAGGCGCTCTTTCATGAGGCTCCCAAATAGCATTGCTTCGGGGGTTAGGATTACAACACATGAACTTGGGGGGACAGGACTCTTCCTTGTACAGCAGTAACTATCATGCCCCCCAAACATCCAGAGAGCACGGTGCACGTGCTCCTTAGGTTTCAGTGCGACCGGAACCATCTTCCTCTCGTCGATAAAAAGGCCTTTTTCTTTGTTGCTGTTAACAGAAATCGGAATACAATACTATATTGTCCTGCGTGGGTAAACGTGATCTTCGTGTGGGACTGGGAATGGATAAAATAGGAGACAAGAACAGGTATTGAGAAGTTTTTTTCTCCCCATTTTCATTTGTGTGAGGATTTTTAATGCAAAGCGGGGACAAGCATTCGTGCAAGTCAAAATGTGTAGCGAGCAATTCTACAATAATCGCAAATAAGCCACTTAAGTACCTTCTAACCCAGGCCAGCATCTGGATTGTTTAAACAAGTACATTTCTTTCTTTGTTTTTCAGTAGGAGATGAAGTTTATTTCTAATTTAGAGATAAAACATAATTTCAAGGAGATGCCAGACTCTCAGAGAGCAGTCTGCCTGCTGCACAGTATTCACTGCCACTCTCCTGCCTTCGATCGGAGAGTACAAAGGACTAGAGATGCACCCATGAGAAGCATTGAAACAGGATTTTAAGAGTTGCCGTTATCAAAGAGTAATGAGTAAACATTTCTAACACTCACAGAGACCAGAGGAGAATGCACCGCATTCAGTAAAACACATTCTAGACCAGTGGTTCTCAACCTTCCTAATGCCGCGACCCTTTAATACAGTTCCTCATGTTGTGGTGACCCCCAATTTCATTGTTACAAATTGAACATAATTAAAGCATAGTGATTAATCACAAAAACAATATGTAATTATATATGTGTTCTCCGATGGTCTTAGGTGACCCCTGTGAAAGGTCGTTCGACCCCCAAAGCGGTCTCGACCCACAGGTTGAGAACCGCTGCTCTAGATGCTGTGGCTGCCCACCCGACACCCCTTACTTGGACATGAAGCTGGCCTGGCTTCCCTGGTGCCAGCTGCTCACGCGGCCCAGTGGTGCAGACGGCCCTCCTCCAATCACGGCATCTGAAGCAGGGACCCTCCTCACAGCCCACAGCCCAGGATGTTGTAGCACTTTAATTGGGTAGTAAATTCCACTCATTCACCTTCTAAAAAGAAAAGCAAGTCACTCTACAGGGAAGCACATCTTTTTAATGTACTTCTCTGCGGTTCCCGCGGATTTGTTATTACAATCGAGCGGAGTGGATGCATTGATACTGTTTCTAATGCTGGGTGTCCGGCTAAAATGGGAATCTGGTGCAGCAGCTCTGAGGTGGGGCCTGAGAGCCTGCACTTCAGGCCAGACACTGCTGCTGCTGCTGCTGCCACCGCTGCCGGCCTGGAAACCGCACTTTGAGGTGAGGGCTTATAATTATCAAACCCACGGCCAGTGTGTGGCCTCGGGAATGAAGATCGGGGTCTTCTGACGCTTCCTCTCGTTACCTTTCAACAGCACTGCACGGACTTTAATATTTAATAAGGTCACCACAAAATCCATCATCCACACCGACACATTTTTTTTAAGTAAAAGGGAGCACCAATGACAATTGCCAGGCGCGTCGCAGGACTGTCCAGGACAAACAGGGACTTTCGGGTACCCTGGCTTTCACAGAAGTGGAGATTACCTCCCAATGAACAAACTAGTTAGCATTTATTGTAAACCTCTTGGGCAGAAGGGCGTACTTCCTCCAAGAGCACGGCAATCTGAAATGTTTGCAATCGCCAGAGGTCGTTGGGAGGGTAAATAAAGACTGAGGATAAGAGGCACACATTTAATTTAAGTAGCTGTTGAAAAGGCTATTGATAAGGTTCTCCAGTAAATGCTGCTAAAGATGAGTCAGCAGAGGATGCGAGGGATGTTCTTTCATGATAGGAAGCTGACTTAGAGCCCAGAAAACAAAGGCGAGGGATAAACAGGCACTTATCTACCCCAGGGTGGGCGGCCAGCCCACTGCAGCGCCCGCCCAAGAAAGGACCAGAGATGGGACTGGCTGTAAGGAGCCAAGAACGTGCACTTGGCTTAAAATGAGGAAATGAGTGTATCCAGAAAGAAATTTCAAGGTGTTTCAGTGTAGGCGTGGGTGAACGGCGGCTAGAACAAAAGCCAGAGGAGATACCAGACTCTTTTACTCAAAGGATACCTAATTTCAAGGCAAATGCATTTTTAAAAAATTGCTCAACTTGTCAGTTTGGATGAATATTGGGCGAAGTGTGTGACTAAGGGGAATACTCTGCAAAACTGCGACAAGATAGCGTAGTTTAAAGCAGCGGCTCTCGGCACCAGCTGCACACCACCACCGCCTGGGAGGCAACTGCCACCTGCCAGGCCTGGGCTCCGACCTGGGTCTGTGCATGGAAATCTCCTGCGGGTGCGCTCAGCTGTTTGCATTAGGGGGCGGGGGGGGGGGACACTCCACTGGAGATTCTGATGGACAGCCGGGGCTGAATGACAACGAGTTGACTAATAACAATGACATAGGAATGAAGGTTCATGTTTGTTAACCAAAGAAAAGGAACTCAAATTAGTTAATGGAGCATAATAGCATGGTGCATAATTCATAATATTCATTTTTCTCTAACATTTTATTGAGAAATAGAATGCACTCTTTATGTGTAAAACACAAATATATAACTTAACACACCATGTACAGTGAACACGTGGGAAACCACCACCATGTCAAGAAGATCACTGCCAGCACCAAACGCCCCTCGTGGGCCCTCCCAATTACACCTCCCTCCCTACCCTCCAGAGGGAGCCATGATCCTGGCCTCTTAAATAATCAGTTTTTTGTTTTGCTTTATAATTTCACCAGGTTAATATATACCCCTAAACAATATATTTCCATTCTCCATGATTTTGAACTTTATATAAATGGAAAGTTCTTTTGTGTCTGACTTCTTTCACTCAGTATT